TGTATATGATTATAATGTAAGTACGAAATTATATTTGCTTCAAAAGTACACAGAAGATGAAATAAGAGTTGTGATAAAGATTACTTTGGGTGAGAAGAATGAGCAGAGAAATCATGAAGATGACATCTGAGTTAAGCCTTGAATGTAGGTCAAATTCAAAAGGAGTGTATGGAGTGCATATGTGTACATGTGTTTGTGTTTGGTGCATGTAGATAAAGGTGCATGTTAAAGGAGGACAGGGATATTGGAACAGGACTGGAAATGCACCCTGAGCAAAGACCACTGTGAACAATAAAGGTAGAAAAGCATGTAGTATATAAAGGGAATCTTAAATGATTCAATTAGACTCATCAAGAAAAGCAAAATTAAGCTTTGAAAAAGTAAAATAACCAGGGTCTTTAGAATTTATTACACAAGCAAGAGACTGCTTTTTTGAAAGTTTTTGAGCAGAAAAGTAGTCATCAAAACTATGCTTCAGAAAAATTTAGCTGTATATAGAACACACTTGAAGCAAGACCATTAGTTAAGATGGTATGCGAATAGCGTAGGTAAGAAACAATCAAGGCTTAACCTTGGGAGGCAAATATAGAAATAAAAATGCAAGATACAGCATATATTAAGCATGTCTTTTTATTTTCTGTATTTTGATGCTTTGACATCTATGAACTTGCTGACCCTAGAACTACCCCTTCCAAGGCTAATCAATTGCAATAAATAAAGGACTCACCCACACACACTTTACATACACAAACCAACCATCCAGAGCCCACACTCCCAATGACCTCCTTTATCAAGCTCTCACAGAGATTTTACTCTCTGGGCCATTGCCCATTTGCCCTAACCATCCCAGGGACAGGAACCTAACAACTTCAGATAGTTATGTCCAGATCCTTTTAAAATTATTCAGACAAGCCAATCCTAAACCTACTTATTCTGCTTTCTCCTCCCCATGGAAACGACAATAAAGGTTCTTGCCCATGTTTCCCCTTGCTCATTTTACCTCCTGACTGGTCCTGGTACTTCCCCAGGTAGTAGTCCCTTGTGTGGCATGTTATGCCATGCCTCCTGTTTCTAGGGATCTATATTAAAAAATTCTTATTTCATGATAGAATTTTTCCTTGTCTATGTGTCTTATCATGACAAAAACATATTCCAGGAACCCTTAAAACATAGCAGATATAGAATTTACAGGACTTGGTAATTGATAATAGCACTTAAAATTTAAATTTCAAATAACTTCCACCTATATTTTCTAATTCAATTCTTATAACTTGTGACATATTCAATAATCATGTTTTGCAAGTAAGAAAAGTTAAAGAGGCCATTTTAAATGCCCAAACTCTCAAATAACTCATAGGTTATGTGTTCTTGAGCAAATTTCTTAATCTGTTTCTCTCCTTATATATAAGTCAAGGTTAATAATAGTATCTACCTCAGAGTTAGGGTGATGATTAAATTAGCCTTTACTTCTAAAGCACAATAAATGTAGACTTGTTCAATTTCAGATATAGTGATATCCTGGTTGAGCTATCTGCCAACAGTTGAAAATGAAAGCTAGAGATTCCTATTTGAGAATCTTTACATAGAGATGATAATAAATGAACTCAGTCTCAAAATAAGAACCTAAAGGTACAAAGTGAAGGTAATAGGGCCAAGGAGAGAAAATAAATGTAGAGACATTTAGGCCAGTAATAATTAAATCAGTAAAGTTTGGGTTAAGGAGGAGAAGATCAATATTGTCAAATGCTACAGGGAGGTAGAAAAGCAAGCCCATTAATTTGGTGGCTTTTGAAATCTTTATGTTACTCATTGTTGACCTCTGAGTAGTTTCTATACAGCAACGGAGACAACAGATTGCAAGAGTTAAAAAGTGAACACAGGCACTTCTGGTGTTTGGTCCAACATGTCAAGACCATGAAAGTCATCGGCTCTATCCTCACAAGAAAATGGCTGAGCAAACTGAAAATCAATAGGTCTTCTTAGATCCATCAGAGAAATGAGCTTACCTGCAAACTTCTGCCCAGAAAGTTGGATGTAGGAGGAAACAGAGAATCACAATTTACTAGGAGCAGAAACTGCCACAGGAGCCAGTTAAGTGGTAGCAATTGACTAATAGCTGGAGACTCACTATAAACTAATTTGAAAGACAAAAACTCCTAGGGGCCCAGTCTTAGAGAAGCCTCTATACTTTTGTAAGTTTTACCTCCATGAGCCCCTCCAGGCCCCAAGGATGAAGATGGGCGAAAAACTCCCTGATGGTTCCAGCAGGGGGACAGGAAGTCATCATACTGAAACATACCTGGAATGTTTGGTTCTACTTAACAAAAGCCCGCCCTCAAGTAAAACTAGTTTATCAGAGCCTGACCAATATGAGGGAAGAAAAATACCCAACTGATTCCCTCTAGCCTTCTTGTTCCATCTAAGGAGAAAAAAAATCTGAAAATTGCTTATGAAGGTCACAGCCTATGGACAAAGACTCACTAAAAACTAGGACCTAATGATAAAATTATGGACCACTTTCTCTTCCCTCATCTTACCACCACATCCAAAGTGTTCCTGTTTAATAACAAGGAACTGCAAAGCTCAGACTCTATTTAAGAAGGAGTCTCTAGGGAAACATAAAAAATGGAGACAAAAACAAGGACACTAGAAGAAACTGAAGGCTCAGAAACGTACACAGCAAACAGTAAATATGGCATAATTCCTAGCCAGAGAAACATAAAACCTCACGCTAAAGGCTTACTTCCTTCAGTTCATATTACCTGATACAACATGTCCAGCTTTCAACAATAAATTATAAGGCATACCAGAGTGCAAAAAACAGTCTGAAGAAACAAAGCATGTATTAGAGCCAGATTAAAATATGGCAGAAATTTTGGAATTGTAAGACTGGGAATTTAAAATAATTATGATTAATATGTTAAGGACTCTAACGGAAATAGTGGATAGCATGCAACAACAGATGAAAATTCTAAGAAAGAATCAAAAGGAAATGAATAAAGACGAAGAATAGAGAAACTGAGTAAAGAAATGGGATAAAAGCATTGAAGAATGCTTTGTGGTAGTTTTTACTGTAATGGGAGATTGTCCAATATTATTAAGCCAATGGGAAAGACTCAAAATGAGAAAAATTGGAGTGAGAAAGTGGAAAATTCATAGATTCATGTTTCATGAGACCTTGTCCAAGATCAGGATTAAGTCCTAAAAGGAGGAAGATGAGAAGTAACATTAAATCGAACCAATGGCTGTAAACTTTAGTGTCTGTGAAATTTTAATTAGATAACATTGCTAACTCAAAAAGTTAAGATTATATTATTTCCCATCTTCCACCCAATTCTTTCCTTAATAGGTAATCTCCTATGAATTTGTCATTATTTAAGAAATTCCCAAGGGAATTTTCCTAACACTCCTTCAGCTACTATGAGGGTTGTATGACAAAAAAATTTACATGAATTCAACTTAATTTTACCTTGACATTTCCACACCTACATGCAACAACAACAACAACAACAAAAAAGATGAGAGTAACAAGTCGCTGAAGTTATAAACTCATTCATTCATTTGGTCAACAAATATTTATTGAGCGCTTTCTTCATTCTAGGCAATAGCAGTGAACAGAACAAAAATCACTGCCCTCATGGAGTACCACAGCTTGGGTGAAGACACATTAACAAACAAGTATATAATATATCAAGTAGGGATAAGTTTTAAGGAGAAAAATAAAGCAATGTTGAGAAATTGGAGGTGCTGGTAGGAGGAAGCATTACTAATTTATGTAGGGCTGTTAGAGAAGGATCCTTCAATAGGAAATGAGTCATGAGATTATCTGAAGGTACATTATTCCAAAAGACAGCAAATGCACATACCTTGAAGTGGGAAAATAATGTGCCTGATATTGTTGAGGAACAATATGGAGTGTAATTAGTCAATGGAAAGAGTCCAAGTTGAGATACTGTAAGGCCATATAAGTGTGTGAGCTTTTATTCTGAGTGAAATGAGGAAAACTGGAGGGGGGTTTTGAGAAGAGTCACAGTGATTACTATGTTGAGGGTGTTGGCAAGAAGACCATTCAGGTGGTTACTGCAACATTACAGTGACTTACATCGGAGTGGTAGCCTGGATTTATTTTGCAGGTAGAAATGGTAGAATCTGCTTATGGAGTAGGATATTCGAGAAGTCAAGAGTAACTCCAAGGCTTTTTACTAACCGAAAGAGTGGAAATTGCCATTTTACTGCAGAGCAGGTTAGAGAAGTAAGTTCAGTTTTGGACACAAATTAAGAGATGCATATTCACTTCTAAGTGCAGATGTTCGATTTTTGTAGTCTGTTTTTTGGGGGAAAGGTACTGTCTAGAGATATGAACTTGTGAATCATCAGTATGTAGGTGATTTTTAAGGCATACCAGTGAAAAGAGGTTTAAAAACTGACCCCAGCAACACTCCAACATTATATGGGAGAGATGAAGAGGCACCACCAGCAAAGTATTTTGCAAACTGGCCATAAACCAAGGGAGGAACTAGGGAAGAGTAGTGTCCTATAAACTAAATGAAGTGATTCAAAACTCAAGAAATGATAAACTAGATCAAAGCTGTTGATGAGGCAGTTAAAAAACGAAAACAGACATGGCCATTGCATTTGGCTGGACAGCTATTGTTGACTTACGAAAGCTATTTTCCTGGAGCGGTAGGATGGGCAAAAATCTGAGTATTGAATTAAAAAAAAAAAAACAAAAAAACGGAAGTTTCTCTCCCAAGTACTTTCAACAAGTTCTGCTAAAGAAAAATTACCTGAGCTGGGAAGGGTGGTTCTAAACAAACTAGACTTTTCTCATAGAGCAAGCACAACAGTAGGGGGTTTGAAAAAAGGTGTACTAGGAAGGAGACACTAATGCCTGGAAGCTTCTAGGGCTGCTGACTGAACCCAGATGCTGCAAGAGATAAGATCTAAAAGGGCTCCCTCCACGACCCAGGGGAATGGACTGTTTTAACGCCGGAACTTACAATCCGATGTTCGGCTGCTTGCGGCTGTTTACTGGAGAGATGGGCATGGTGGCGACTGCCTGGGGAGTGTGGTCGACGACCGCCTTCCTTGCCCGCTCCTGGAGACCCTGTACCCCAACCCCCGGCGTTAGCGACTCCAGCTGAAACACCGGAATGTTTGCCGGGCGTCATGGAGACGGTGGAGCCTAGGCTCAACAAGCGGCCGCGCGGTTGGCTGGCGGCTGTAGGCCGAGGAGGAGGGCGGAGGCGGAGGGGAGGGCAGAGGGTTGGTGGAGCTAGAGGAAGCTCGGGACGACGACTAGAAGAAGAAGGCGGGCGGCCCCGGCCTCAGGCCCCTCCCAGGCTGAGTCTCCCCAGCTGCAGGCGGATGGATGGGGCTTCTTCAGGCGGTGGCGGCAGCAGCGAAGGTGGCGGCGGCAACAGCGGCAGCGGCTGTAAGTGCAGCCTCCAGAAACCATCTCTCCTCTCCTAGTCCTTTTTGGGATGAGGCACTCCCGAGGTGTCCTCGGTCCCCTTTCTGTCCTTCCCCTCCCCCACACAGGGTACCGCCCGGAAGACCCTTAACTTCCGGGGAGGGGCTGCGAGAGAACGCGCCCGGCACGCTTCCCCTCCCCGGGTGCCGCCAGCCACCCAAGGCGCATGCGCAGCTCCCCTCCGCCGCCCACCCCCTCCCAGCCTGGTCTTTTGCTTTGGCGGCTGCTGTGGGGCCGATCTTCCACGGCATCCGCGGAGCGCTAGGAATCCACAGCGGAGTGAGTTCGAGTCGGCCAGTTCGCCTCCGCCCCTTTCTCTTGTCGGTCCCTGATTCTGGTCGGGGTGGGGCTAAGATGACCACCCCTGTGGCTCCGCCTCTTTTCTTCTGTATCTTGGCGTTCTGTCCCAGCCTGGGGGGAGGCTCCTGCTCGCACTGCAGCCCACGTGAGCAGGGTTCTGGGCAGACTGTCCCGTATTAGAGGGAGGGAGGAGAGACTGGAAGAGGGCATTATTGTGAGGGAACAAGGTCCTCCCAACCTGTGGGAGGATCCCTGGGGACAGATGTCTCCCAATCCTTTGAATGAGGTGGTTCTGCCAGCTTTTAGTGGAAAGATCTTTGGCCTGGAGCCCATCTCTGGTCTTTGCTTGCTGTATGACCTTGAGCGAGTCACTGTCCCTTCTCTGGGCGCCAGTTAACCCTAAAACTTCCTCCAACGCTAAAAACGCTTAATTTTGCAGAAAAGCTTATGCTGTTACAAGACTGGCGGGTCTCCTGAGGCCACTTAGCCAAGATGACCTGGAGAGTTGATTGAACTTGCTTCATTTGTAGGTGGAATGAGATGACCTACTTATTGGGTCTCTTTTATTCCTTTGCCATTGGTTACATATTGCATGACTCAAGATTCATTTATGTTTTTCTAAAATTGTCATGGGATCCTTGTCCTAATTCCTAGCTATCTTTTTAAAAATTAGAGACAGGGCGACTGGTGAGTTTGCGGTATCACAGTCTCTGGTCTAGTTACTACTGAGGCTCTCTTTCCTTTGATCCAGATGGTGTGGTGGCTCGATTCTCCCAGTGCCTGGCTGAATTTCGGACGTGGTTAAGAACCAACTGGTTGAGGTTCAATGCAGACAAGACGGATGTGATGCTGGTAGGCAGGGGCACACTTGGAGATTAAGGGAGGGAAAATCCAAACTCCCTCAAGTAGTATAAATATTACATTACTGTTCTTATATGTTCCAGTGTTTGAGAACTGCTGATGGGCCAATAATTGCCAGAGTTTGGGTGAGATAAAAATAACATGTCAACAATATAAGAACTATAAAAATGTCAATTTGTGATAATCTGATAAAATAGGGCCACTGGATAAAAGTCTATGTAAAAATTATGAAAAGAAAAGCCAAAAACTGTTCTTTTGAGAATCAAAAGAGTATATAAATGTTTTTTTGGGTGGCGTTAATAATAAAAATCTAACAAAAAGATGGTGATGCTGACTGTTGCATAGATGAGAGGCCTCCAAATGTAATGCATTACTGCTTTGTAACCTGCATCCTGCCTACTAAAGTACACTCAATTTATCTAAAAAGCCATTTAAAAAATAGTTGATTTTTTTTTTTTTGGTATTTAGGTATTTTCAACCAAATTAGTAGGTATTCATAAATTATTACCTGCACATCATGCATAGTCTGTCACTTTTAAACAAAAATTTTAAGAAATAGTTTACAAAAAAAGGGGACAGATGAACTCTGAAAATTGTTAGATACAGAATTTGTTTTTAGGGTTTTGAATGTGCTGTATTAATCCATTTCATTCAAACAGCCCCAGAGTCTAAATTGTTATAAGTATTTTCTTGATGCATTTTAAGAGGTACTCTTTTGAGTACAAACACATAACATGTGTTTGTATAGTATGTGTATATATTATATTTCAGTCAGGTGTTGGTACTGAATAAAAGGTTTTATCTCTTAGAATATGTAAATTTCCAAAGAAGTTTATTTATTGGTTAGTTTAAAGTACTGCTTAAAGTATAATTGTGACCCTAAAATGCTTTGGCTAACTGCAAAAATAATAACTCCAAGGGGTTCTGTGTGTGTGTGTGTGTGTGTGTGTGTGTGTGTGTATGTA